CCTGGATAAGACGATAAAGTACGTCTAACAGCAAGGCTTCTGATCAGGAAGTTTTGAGGAGCATGGAATCACCTCTTAATTGCTGGTGTTACCAGGTCCACAATGACCCGGGGTGGTAGCAACTGCTAGGGGTCCCAGCTATGTGCAAATAGTTAACTCCCAAACTGGGGTTAAAACTATGAAAGTGTAAAAATCGGTTTTAATACTAGAAATATTTTGTAAAAAAAATTTATTACCAGCAATAAATTTTTGAAAACAATTTTTTACCAGCAATATTTTTTGAAGAAAAAATATTACTAGCGATACATTTTTGAAAAAAAAATATTACCAGAAATAGATTTTTAAAGGAAAATATTACCAGAAATAGATTTTAAAGGAAAAAATATTACCAGCAATAAAATTTTGTCGGCATTAAATAATCCATTGGGGTTAATATGCCGTAAATCAAACCAAACCAAGCCAAACCGAACTGATGATGGCTTAGGTTTCTGAGATATGGTGTTAATAAAGTATAACAGAGAAGACGACAAGATTTAGGGTAATTATTGTTGTGAATATGGATTATCTCCCCTTTGATAATCCAAGCTATAAAAGCTGTACACTTCCGCTTGTCAAGTTAGACGAGTAGTAGTATTCTTAATTGAATAAAAGATTACTAGACAGAATCTTTTGTCCTGTTTTAATTACAAGTATTGTAGCGAATGAAATCACACGTGACTTGAAAGTTGATGAATGTTTTAAGATAAATGCAGCCAGTTATTTATTGTAAATGTTTGGACAAGACTTTTTTTTAGTAAAGAGTATATTCATACAAGTCAACACTTTTTTTACATTCTCAAAGTTGTTTTCCCTCCTTTATTGCCAAAACAGGTTTCAAAGTCACCAAATGGAATTCAAACCAGCGTTTCTGTGTAATATCCAATCGAAAGCTTGCAGTTTATTATTACAAGAGTTATATATGAGAATGGAAAGCAATATTCAAATAAAGAAGATCTCGGAGATGCAATAAAAACTGCTAAAATGTAAACTTAAGATTAAAACAAAATCCAATGATGAAAGATTGATGATAGATGGTCTATGGAATATTATGTTAATCAAATACATGTTTCTATGGTTTACATTTTTGGGATTTATTTAGAAATATAAATTTATGTTTCACTTAATTTGTTTGGATAATAAAATCTAAAATTCTCAAAACAAGCTGTGATCATTATTTTTAATAGGTATAGATATAAACTGAAATTCATATGATCTATTGCTCAGAGAAATATAAGCATAATGTGAACCTCAGTTGATTCATACAAATTTTATTGACTTGCCAAATACAATCTGATATTATGTGAAGCTTCTTTCGTTTAAAATGTTTTTAAACTTCAGAACAGATAATCATTCCTTCCAACAAATATTAAAAGAATTAGGTTGTTTCAAAATAATTACATTTGTATCTCATTTTATTATTTGAAATAAAAAAATGAATAAGCTTGATAATTCTAAATGATCTTTTCAAATAAAGTTAGTTAAAAATAAATGCTTTGATATCATTTAATAATTAATGATAGATATTATAAACTCAAAGGGATCCGCAAACAAAGTGAAGCTTCCACAATATACATCGATGAAAAACTGAAGATTAGTTCCAGTCTATAGGATATTGTCTTAATCAAATACATATTTCTATGGCTTACATCTTTCGAATTTATTTATTTATTACTTAATTTGTTTGCATAATAAACCTATCAGTCACAAAAAAAATTATTATCAATAGCTTTATTAAGAATTGCTATTATCAACTGAAATTAATTTAATAGTAAATTGATCTCCGATGCTTTGTAGAAAAAACAAATGTTTAATGGTTACAATCAAATAGAGACAATTGAAATTTCCAGAGTGCCTAATATGAAAGGACGGCTTGGTGAAAAAAATAACTGCTAAAAATAAACTTAGTCAAAACAAAAAGAAACGTTAATAAAATCCAATCGTGAAAGATTAAAGATAGTTCTGGTCTATGGGATATTGTCTTAATCAAATATATGTTTCTATGGCTTACATCTTGGGGATTTATTTATATTTTTTTTACTTAATTTGTTTGCATAATAAACCTATCATTTACAAAAAAAAATTATTATCAATAGCTTTATTAAGGAATTGCTATTATTAGCAGAAATTAATTTAATAGTAAATTGACCTCCGATGCCTTGTAGAAGAAGCAAATGTTTAATGGTTACAATCAAAAAGTTAAAACAAAAAGAAAATTAATAAAATCCAATCGTGAAAGACAAAAGATAGTTCTGCTCTATTGTCTTAATCAAATACATGTTTCTATGGCTTACATCTTTTCAATTTATTTATTTTTTGCTTAATTTGTTTGCATAATAAACCTATCATTCTGCTATATAGGAATAAAGTGTAGCTGTCGACACTTGAGTTTGAACATAGATCGCCAGTGAGCAAACACAGGCGATCCCATTACTAAATTAAGTAGACCATAGAGAAAACGCATATATGGGAGTTGCGTGTGTCTTATTAATCTCTATTTCTAGTCTATCCTCTATTACTATTCGGATCACCATTTCTCCTCTATTCTCTATTACTCAACGGGCCGCTATTCTCTACTCTATTCCCTATACTATTTCTCTATTCAGACTACTATTCGATGGTTACTATTCGAACGAGTATTATCGAGCAAGTACTATTAGTGTGAGTGTTATTCGAAGGCGTCTGATACCAGTATTGGTTCAACGGCGTTACTATAATTGTGTCTGCGATTACAAAGTCTCTACTACAACGAGCATTACGGATGTGGCAACGAGTATTCGTTGGCATCACAAATATGACAACGCATGTTCGTTGAGGCACAAAACATTCACAACAAAATTATTATCAATAGCTTTATTAAGGAATGGCTATTATCAACTGAAATTAATTTAATAGTAAATTGATCTCCGATACCTTGTAGAAAAAACAAATGTTTAATGATTACAATCAGAAAGAGACAATTGAAATTTCCAGGGTACCTAATATGAAAGAAGAGCTTGGTGAAAAAAATAACTGCTAAAAAGTAAACTTAGTCAAAATAAAAAGAAAAGTTAATAAAATCCAATTTTGAAAGACTGATACTAGTTCCGGTCTGTAAGATATTTCCGGTGTATCAAATGAGAAAGGAGGACATGGCGAATCTGACCGACATATGACATATTAAAGACATACCGTATATGCTCGAGGATAGGTCGACCCACCGGATATGACGTACCCCTATTTTATGGCTTTATAAGTGATGATTTACTGTTGACTTGCAGATAAGTCACACTATAATCACGGGGAGTTACACAGCCCTTTTTAAACGTAATAATTATCAGAATTCTACCTTTATGTCTGCCTTTGTTTCAAGACTTACAATTATTAATACACTTTTGCAGTTAA